TGATACACAGTCTGACATGCAAATTCACTTTGAAAAACTGCAAATTAATACATATTTATTTACGAACATGAGACGACAGTTTCAAAATCTTAACGAGAATTAAGCTTATTGCCAGTAATGACATACATGTCAAAAGTGTCTGACTTGTACAAAGATATTAGATGAAAAATTGGAATAAGATTTCGTTTCCAAGACGGCAATATTTTGCTTATCATTAGTATGTCTGCGAAAGTCTATTGAATTATTTGAATACTTCAATACTTTGTAAACCTTACGTAGATAAATCTATTCTTCTGTGAAGTTGACGTAAATTTCTATATATTATTGAAAATTAATTAATAGTTATTTTGAAACTAAATCGAAACGGACGGCGGAGATTAAAAGTGCTTAAAATTAAATACGTAATACCATTTACCTCTAGGCTTTATATTACACAATCACATAATCGTTTTAATAACAATGGTGTAACATACGCTATTGGCATGACCTTCTTAAATGACATGGGACTGACATGGCGAAGGAACTTGTCGTTGGTATGGAGCAATAACTAAGGTTAAATGCACACCTGCAGATTCCTCTGCGGTACGATATCGAAACGAGTAGCCCACTGTCCTGACAAAATTCCACTAATTGGGTTGTAGCCAAATATTTTCATGCAATATTTTATTAACATAAAGATGGAAAAGATTGGGGAACAGGCCTTTGCGTTTTTACCTCCACTCTCATAGAAGGCCTGTAAAATTTTTATCGAAGCAGAAACTTCGGCTGTTAAATTCCGTCAAATTTCATTCTTAAAAAGACGTTACTAAAACAATATCGTGCCTAATGGTATTAAACCTTGTACTTTATTTCCACACTTAATCAAGTTATCAATTTTGATTTTTTTAGCTTTAGATAGACATTTTATTTTGTCTTGCCGCAATTATATTAAGTTTTTAATGCCCTGCGGATATATTGGACTAATTAAGTATTTTTCTAGCACAGAAATAGATTTTGACTAGACAGCATAATGAGAGCTCAATTTACAGAATTTTACCAGTCTAACAGGGGTCGCGTCAATCTATCATTAGCACAGACCGGTAGACGTTAAATACATAGAAATGAGTTCACATCCGTTTAAAATCCGACCATAAACAAATGCTAATTTTATTCGTACACAAAAAAAAGGTTACAATTACAAAGAAAACTTCATGTAAAAAAATTAAATGGATTGCAGGTCAAAGGACAATATATTGGCTAATTTAGGATAAAGTTCGAATAAGCAATTTTGGTTATGCACTATTATCTTATGAAGAAACCAAATTATGACTTTTATAACTGCATGATACTTTTATAACTGCATGATCATTTCCATTTCTCAGTTTGAAAGGATGTGGGATATTCTAGATAAAGGAAATGTATAATTGATGTACAAAGGCCAAGTTTCAGACCGGAAATACAGTTTCGACATCAGAATAACATCTCGGTTGGTGGAACTTCCTTTCTGTACTACTGATAATACCAACGTAAATAAGCAAATACTTTCTCAAGTGAAATCATAATGCCAGGGGCAGACGAGTATAATTGTTTTGCCTAATCAGTGAATCACGTCGATTAAAATCGCCAGAGAATATTTACGCCAAATAACGAAGGGGCGCATAATTGTTAAGAGCGTATATCAGTAGATCATGTGGTCGATACAAAATGGTGTTTCGAGCATTGCAAGATATCAACATCACTTCCAAATGGTTAAAATTAAATAAAAATTGCGAGATAAAATTCACCGGACACTGCCTGTGAATGGAATTGCCGACGAATGGAACGGGCATTTCACAGTCGTCGTCGATGTGAGCGGCCCGAAAATATACGCTCGTGTGCCCCCTTCTTTTGATCAATCATAACTTTCCTTGAAGAAATCCGATACCCCTCTGTGATTGCTTGAAGGTATAAATTACTGATAGACACTAACATCCAGTATACAATAGTACATCATTTATATCAGAGAGCTTCGCTTCCAGAAAACTCCGTGATCGATGAATAGCCCAAGAAGTAAACCATAACATATCAAAAAGGCTTGAAACCATTCTGATCATATTTAAGGGGGCGTGGGTTTTGGACATTCTAAATGTACAGGCCTGCCTCACTTCGAAATGTCGTGAGCAAAAGAGACGATTAAGTGTTGTCATACATACATTAACTTTGACAAAGAGAACATATGGTTGACTGTGTTAACATTTTTCGCGACAGGGTGCTATTGCATTTGCAGAAATAAAAACAGAAACACTTCTAAAACCGTAAACAAGACTAACCCTTACATATTCTGTGGTCGAAAATAATACTCTACTGCTTCTTTATGTTCCCTTAAGAGTCCAGATGCCTTTACTAGTATGTATCAGAATTTTCAAATTAAGATATTTATGATACATTTTGCCGGGTTTTTTGCCTTATAGTATTTTTCCATTCACAAAGTTTTCGTTCGCGTGATTTATGTCGACTACCATCAACTAATAAGCAAAAATAAAATTTAATTTGAGAAATCAGTATCCGGATTGCAAGAAATACGATACAAATTGTAAAAGATATTTATAGATACAATATACATCATATCTCGAGTTAGTAATCTTATTATGGACGACCTGTCACTACCATACATCCTTAATGTAGTTCTGGGAATTACAAAGTTAGTTGCACAATTTGATAGAAATGAAATGAAGGTGGTTGAAAGGTGGTGGAGGACGCAAACCAGAGACCGGGTGTCGATGATATCTTTAAATCGTTACGTTACTGCTGTCAGAGAGCAAACGTCTAGTTGTTTAGATAGAAGCATGGACTGAGGTCATGTGTGTTGTCCGTGCAATATCATTCCCCGCCACTACGTTTGCTGAGAGCGGGACCTGGATGTATAAGGATCTGTAGCGCTAAAAAACATTTCGTACTTTTTCTTTCATAATAATATCTCTCAAACTGTTCAAATGATGGTCTGGTAGGGACAGTAAAATTAAAAAGCTTCAGACCGGCATGGTTAAAATTTGTTAATCGGGTCGCCATCGATGTCTTGTATGTGATATGAATGAAAGGAAATTGTAGTCATACGTTTCTGCATATATTTAAGCAGTGCTATGCAGTGTGCAATGATAAATTTCGTCAGGACGGTGGCATTAACCTGCTATGTTCTTTTCTAACTGTCGCTAACTTGCACAGCTCGTAGCACACGAGGTTTCGGTCTATGATTGTCCCAATCCGCTTTTACTTGTCAGCAGTCATTGACCTGCAGTCATTGCCGCTTCCAGTACGCGATGAGCAGTAAGTCTTTCGTCATTGCATGTTAATAATAAGGAAATTAGTATTCAGGAAAGAAGAGACCGGAGTAATTAATCTTGTTGATTCGGGAAGACTATCATCAATCCATCAACGAATTAACCGGGCAATATTTAGAGGATAATTGATATTCTAGGCTATTGTTTTGGTGACTTTTGGCGGATATGGCAATAACAATCGACCTCTACTTGACAATTGAAGATCGTCCAATGAATAATGTTAATTCACTTCCAGTTTCCTTGATTGACACTCGGATTTGGAAATGGTAACGCTTAAGTGGCAGAAGAAGAATAATGATATTCTTAATTAACCAAAGATAAAAGTGTTTCCTTTGGGTTGGATTCGAAATAGAGCGCTGAAAATGTAAGGTTTGGTCTTTAATCAATAGTAGATTTCATCATTGTTTCCTGCTTTATATAAATTGCTCCTCTCAATTGTTATCTGACAAGATTTTTGATGCTGTCGCGTTCTGATGACGTTATGTTAAACCAATCTTACTTAGATTCACAAGAATCTTACACTGGTTGATATCGAGATAAGAACTCATTATTTTCTTAGCATATTTTTGTATAGCTGTAATGCTTCAACCGACCGAGCTATATTCCCAGGCAAAAAAATAATAACTAATGAAATTATCTCTTTCGTGAATGTTGCTTTTTTGTCATGAGTTTTTCTACATTATTTCATTGTTTTTACTATGATCTAATTACCGCCTTCATATTGGAATCCGCATAAAGTAAAATGAGTTTTACGTCCTACTTTTCTGCACCTAATTGACTAATGAAGACCAGCGAGCAATGAAGGAAAGTTTGCCAGGACAGTGAAAATCCAAGAAAAGAAAAATAGTTGACAAAAGCTTTGCCCAAACAAAGCATAGACATATTATGTAATTTTTGAGATTTCTCTGTGGAGTCTAGAAATTCGTTAACTTCATGCAAACGCAGTATTTTTATATTCCAAAAACGTACTTTGAAGATTGTCAATATTATTTTTTTTACGGAAATTAGAAATGAAATGAATGGAGTTTTACGTCCTACTTTTCTGCACCATGTGGGCTAATGAAGACGGGCAACGCCATGCAGGGTGCAATGAGGGAAATTTTGCCAGGACAGCGGCATTAGCCTACTCTATTTCGATTTCCAACTGTCGAGGGATCTTTAACGTGCACAGCCTGTAGCACACGGGGCCTCGGTTTATTGTCCCATCCGAACGACTAGACGCTTTTTCCATGTCAGCCCCTCTCACCTGCATCACTGACAGGGGGAAACCGGGTTGAAAAATCCGAAGGTATTATCTCGACCTATGCCGGGATTGAACCCTGGACCTTCAGGTTAGCGAGCAAGCGTCTAACTCACTGAGCCATCGCGGCTCCCTGGCAACTAAATTAGAAGTAGTGTTCTTAAATGGATATGGACCTTATTGAAACCTGAAATGAGATCTGTGAGACATTTCCTCGTTTTGCTATCGAAAACACTTACAGCTGTGTTTTACGCCGTGTCAGTTGATAAACATACAAAGACTAAAAAATAGCATACTCTCTGATGATGTTTCAATTGTGCTACACGGCAACCCAATAGATGAATGTGCGAGTGTATGCCTAAATAAACATTACTATCCGAAACACATTTGGGGATATTAAAGCTGCTTATAGCACCATACGTACAACACCCTCCACAAAAACCGTTTAATGAATTGAATCTTACCTTCTTTTTGTTGCGAGTTCTGACGTCTTCGGTGTTCATGTTACATCCTGGTGCCCTAGCTCCCCAGATGTGGCAAGCTATTCTAAAATAGCAAAAGCTGATCACCACCAATGGTAAAATATATTGTATAAACACAAGCACTAAACTGTAAAATTGTGGGAACTTCTCCCAGAATGTTGGCCACAGCGGTCCGCATTGTTTTATATTTTCCACATTATATCTGACACGAAAGTACAGTACCATGGGTATGGCGGTCGTGATAGCTACCCACCAAATTACTGATATGATTATCGCAGCAGATTTTTTGGAGCACCCTGCCTTGAACGGGTGCAAAACGGCGATGTAGCGATCGCAGGCTATAACACTTAAGGTGAAGATGCTTACGTTCACAGATATAACTTGAACAAACGGAGCCAAACGCACATGAAGTGAGCGATCACCCATCTTTGGAGCAGAGCTGCTTGAAATTGAAACGGAACGGAAAACATTCCGATTACGACATCGGCTACGGCTAAGTTTGCGATGAAGATATTGGTAACAGTTTGCATTTTACGGTTTTTGACAATCACTAGTATAACAATTCCATTGCCAATTACCGCTAATAATGAAATAATGCCATACAATAATGATAGGAGAAAAATCACGCCCGGAGGAACTTCATAAGGATCACCAGTCCTGTTGGAGGCAGCCGGAATAAATGTTAAATTATAATTAAATGATTCATTATTTTCAAACGCTTCATTCAGCGATAAATTCATTATAGCGGCTTAAATATTTCCAACAAACACTTATTTCACTTGGAAACTTCTAATGAACGACGATTGTAGTTAAATTGTTGGTTACTGCTAGCGGATAGACGAATGGTTTATATTTATTAATCGACTTCTAGCAATTGGCACGTCGATTATACTTCGGCATCACTTTAGACGAGTTTCAGACGGTTTGCGTTGGTGTATACGAGCAATCCACTTAATGTGTTACAGGACACATGGATAATGTATTTTTAATGGAAAACTCTAGTGGTATTATGGTGTGTCTAATTGGCACTTCTGTTCATCAAATTCCCAAACAAGATACCTGTGTAAACGATTTATGTCAGATATTTTGAGTTTTTATTTCAGAAATCACTTCCAAAACTGAGTTTTATATTCAATTTCTGTCTATAATTTTCAGTTTCTTTTCCTCTTGTTTTGAAGGCGTTTAAAACCGATTTCAATGCAAATTCAGTTTTCAAACTAGATTACTCCGAAAATAGAAATCGTCGTTACCGCTCTTCCGGAAATCAAAATGTCATATCAGATTCGTTCAAAGTCTATTCTTTCACAAATCGGATTAGAATATGAAACAGGATCACCATATAAATCAAATCACTTAAAACCAAAGTCGCATATCTGCTGTTATCTCAAAGGTCTTTGCGGCATCTACATGTAAGTACCACTTAGATGTCTCCGCGTAATCCGCTCTGATAATTGCTTTACCACGTTCCGCTCCAGTCTCCGGTTGCTATCAGTCGTGTATTCAAAATCATCACACGATCATCCAATTTATCAATTTGACTGAACTACACGAATATGAAAAATTGGACTATCATAATTCTATTCTGTAACAGTCATCAATCAAATTTCAACACAATTGATCTTCAGATTCTAAGAGTTCTTCGTGATCTTTACTTGCGTGTCTGAAATGGTAAATGATAATAACTTCTTAAAGCTGCCTTGTTTAAATGCTTTAAAATATACATCCACGCGTGGCTCTCACTTAAACATGACAAAGAAACATACGTCCAAAAACTTTAATTAAAAATCAAAGTTGGATTGGCCAATTGGAAAATATTGGACGAATGGGGAAGTTGTGGTTTGTGGTACCATTTTTATTATTCAAGGTTTAAATTTTAAAAGTTTACCGGTTTATATTTCTAATTATTAACTTGTGGTATAATTTTCATCTTTTCACATGCACAGTATAACCTTGAGAACAAGAGCATTTTTAAAAAAAAGTTATTGGAATGGGGGCATAATGTAATATCTGTACGCCGCGAGTCTCCTACTGAGATTCGACACCTTACAGAATAAAGATAGCTCGGCAGGCAATGCAACATATGCCAACTGACAACATTCTTCGATGATTTAACACTTTTCGTCAAAATCAGCTGAGAATTGGGTATTCCAGATTGTTTTACGATGGACAAACATACGAGTATACCAACAGAGTATAATAAGTCACGAACGATAAATATCGGAAAGTGTGGTCTCCGAAACCGTATTTTATGAGTATCAACTTTCCGTATAGGAGTAAAGGAAATATTAACAAGATGGCTACCGTCCCAATTAACAATATATGGATTTATTAAAATGTCAAAATATATCCTTTTATTTTAAGTTTTCTTCATTAAACAATGTTTTTGGTGCTTCTTTGTGCGCATTAAGATTCTCAACACGTGGCTCCCATTTAAATTGTCGGCGATTTTAATAGACTCAAGTTTTAGTTGTCAACCTTTGGACTCCATGCACCCTTAACGTCCACAAAAGACCAATATTGTTTGAAAGATATCTTGAATTAGGTACAGACAAACGACCATGAAATGTTGGTAGAGAGCCCTTATCTTAATCCGCGTTGTAATCTGTATTTCAAGATTGAAATCCCCCTTCTGCCACCCTTGCAAATATATTAATTCAGATTATAGTAATTGCTTAAAGAACTTTGGGTGCCTCTATGGTAACTATTTGCTCTGGAACTAAAACATACCGTTGTCAAATTAAGCCTTGTCCACATCAAAAGATTTTAATTTTCTTTTGGACTGGTTGGCTGGACAGTTTTCTAAACCGGAATATTCACACCGAGCTATCATTGGTTTTGAAATCTCACTATCCGATGGACTATTAGTAATTATCTGCTGAGGTAAAATCCAACCTGATTAGTGATAATTAGTCTAATCATGCGGCACATTCGTTTCGAATAACTTGTATCTAATTCGTCAAAAAATGAATTATTTTGTCCAAAAATCGATTTGGACACTGAGATTTTGGGTGTGTTTTTGCAATGTGAATAAATAGCCGGTTCAAAAATCGGAAAGTCCACAACCTTTGGTTCGCTCTGTAAGGGCATAAATGTCGCACAAGACATTTTTACTACTTTTAACGGTAAAAAGTCTTTTTAACTTTAAACAATCTTGGTCTAAATCGTCCAAACGGTAATCTAACTGGCTTTAACAACTAACTGGATTTAAATCACGCGTATTATATTTCAAATTGAAAAGTAGGCGGCTTGTTCATTTAGTGACAACGCAAAAGATCTATAAGACCGTTATGCTCAAGGAATTTCTACATAGCCAAATCGTTCCGCACAATTATTTAAGTCGATACAGAAATCGAGGTAGAACGTCGGACTTGAACAAATAAATCGCTCTGTTGAACAATATAATTAAATGGTTAACGAATATCAATATGAACGTTCAGGTCGTAACTTGTGTGTCATTGGTTTCCAATATCTACGAATAACTTTCAGGACAACGACATTGCCTAGACTTTTTTTTAATGAAATGTAAGAAATTTTATCTCTTAATTATGCACACCTTAGTGGACTGATAAGGACGAGCAACGCCATGCAACGTGAAACTTTAGCAAAAAAATGGCATTAGATTACTCTTTCGTGATTTCAAACTGTCGAGGGATCTTGTAGCTACTTTTCATGTATGGTTCAAAAAATTAATTTTAAAATACATCACGACATTTTCACCACTCCTCTTTGAAAATAATTAAAAATATCATGTTTGGACAACGATGTAATGATACAAAAATGACAGTAGACAATTTAAAATGATTCTGGCGCCAGTACCTCATAGTAAAATAAAGAATTAAGAATTAAAAAAAGCATGTCAAATAGATATAGTGGGATTATATTAAGATGACTTATATGCAAAAGTGCTAATTGAGTACAAATCTTTCAAATTTCTTCTGCGGATTCTACTAAGAAATAGTTGAGCTGATATACCCAGTAGAAGAGTAAATTCGGATGTAGAAGGAAAGGGCATTCAAAAATGTTTTATGAAAAAGTGCACCGATGTTATCACCTTCCACAGCATGCCATTTCACATGAATTTGGTTAACAGTTCGTAATAGTTGTACCTTTTTGAATCGAATTATGGTTTTACGATCCCTTATCTACTCATTATAAAGCTTTTGAAGACGGGACATTTCATTATAATGCAGCAATGGTAGATATTTCGAAAGAAAAACCTGCCTCTTGTTTTAGTTTCCCAACTTTCAAGGAGTCATAACGTGTATTGCTTGAAGTACACCGGGCCTTGGTTTATTGTCCCATCCAAACGCCATTCTGAGAGTTCTTAAAGCTAATAATGTTTATTTAGAATTTTATTACCTAGCTAATAAATCTGACAACACATTAAGTCGTCTCGTAGAATTAAATAACCAGAAGGTTCTAATAAAGAAAAAACGAATTCATTAAGACTTTCTGTCCCAAGAGTACCATAGATATTGACTGACTTACTGACCCAATATCGCTATGTGATATCAACACTCATTGAGAGCAATTTTGTGGTCCAGTGACGTTTTGATCTTAAGACATCTAAATGATTCTTATGTCCTGCCTCGGAAGCTTCCAACAATGTCATACATTGCCTTTCTCATAAGCCCAACCAGACGCTGAAGAATATGACGTAAACCTCCATTTCATTGCTAGACCCGATCCTCTGAGAGATATCAAAATCACAAATACCACAAGGGAAATTCAAATATGTACTCATTAGCGTGTCATAGCGAACAGTCTCTTTATTTTAAAATCTTCTTCAGTTCATTAGATCCTTGTCTGATCGCTGTAACTAGCCAATTGAGAGAAATATATCGTCCACAAATTAGTATTCTTTAGAAGGAATAGAATGACCGGAATTCAATTTGCGATGTGATCAGATAAAACAGCTTGGTAGACGAGCAATAATTAGTTATAACGTTAGTCTGATCACATTAAGCACCATTCTTACGCTCTTTACAGCCTCATGTGTAAATTGATGGTTTGGGGACTTTTCAGAAATTTTATTTTATCACGTTAAAGCTTTAGCTTTCGAACTTTGAGGTGTTTGAGTTTACAACTTTGGTAGAAGTGGACAGAAATTGATATTTACATCCTACATGTAGGGT